GGGGTCTGCCCGCCCCGGGGGGATGCCAGCCTCGCCTGGTGCCACCCGTGCTGCCCCGCCTCGGCTCCGAGGGGAAGCAGAGCTGCAGAGCAATTAGGAACGGGAGCGTTTTGAAGAGGAAAATGGCAGGGGAAAAAAATTAGCATTTGCGCTGTGATGTTTTTGCTGTTTATTAATAAACAAGCCGCTTTCGTGCCTCCGGGGGCAGGAGGGGCTTTAAGCATTCCTTATTCCTCTTGCATTTAGCTTTTTTTTTGCTTGTTTTATATGTTATAGGAGATTTGTAACATCTTCCCACATGTTGAGTTTCTTTATTTTCATGAGAGCATCTCTGGAATAATTCCTCTGGATCTCCCAGCTGTGCGCTGCTGGGCTGATCTGAACATCCAGAAACACTCTAGGGATGCGGGGTGGATCAGCAGCTCGTTGGGAAGGAGTCGTGCTAATGAGGAACAGATCTGCTTCCTCCTGCAAGCGGAATGACTCCTGGGATGAGTGTTTTCAGGGAGAGAAAGCCCTTGCGTGTAGCTCCTGCCACCCGAGACCTGGGTGGTGGTGGGGACGGTGACGTAGCCACCCGGGTTCTGCCCCGGCAGCACGGCCGGGCCCCTGTGCAGCCCCTGCGCAGGGTGGTCGCAGGTCTTCCCACCGCACCGTCTGCCGCTCAGGGAGGCTCGGGCAGGAGGTCCTGCGTGGGGACGTTGGAGACGCACGGCTCGGTGACAGCCTGGTTACGCCCTGTGCCGGGCGCCTGCGCTGCAGCAGGTAACGTGTCCTCGATCCCAGGCGGATCCGCGCCGGGGAAGGCTTCAGGGTGACGGCACTAGCTCTCCTCTCATCATGGGAGGTGAATTAAAACCCTGCCAATTAACAACGGGCTTGTTCTTCTTTACCCTCAGGCCTCCAGCTCCTCCGGTGGAAAAATGCAGCTTCTGGAAACCGAGTTCTCGCGAACCATCCGGGAGCTCATCGAACTCCACCTGCTTCGCCAGGACAGCATCCCGGCCTTCCTCAGCGCCCTCACCCTCGACCTCTTCAGCCGTCAGACCATCATTTAGCGTCCCACCGCCAGCCACCAGCCGGGTGCAGAGCACGCCTGGGCAGGACGCTCGAGGTAGCGAGGACAAATTCTCCCCTCCCACCCTTAATCTGTGGCATTTGGTTGCTTCTGTTTTGCAGGGAGCTCCTTCTCCCCCCTTCTTTCGTGCTGATTCCCGAACCGCACCGATTCCTCTGAAAAGCGTTGTTTTCCTCCTGTGGGAGGGCCAGTCTAGCTCCATCCCAGGGCTCTCCCGTGCCAAGACCCAAGCTCCACCCTTGAACAGGGAAATGTGTTCGTTGCTCCCCAGACCATGGGAGCTGCTGGTCTGAGGAGCCACAGCATCGCTGTTCACAGCTTTTCCCAAAAAAATTCCTCAAATCTGGGTCCCAGCAGAGAGATGAGCCTTGCAGGAGGCTGGTGCTTCCTGCCCCCGTGGTTGTCCTCTCCTAATGGGAGAGGCCTTGGTCCCTGAGGACAGGGACCTGGGAGAGGATCAGTCATGAGTAGCAGGTTCTTTGTGGATACCTCCTGCTCTTGCACAGGGCTGAAATTATTTTCGAGGTATCCAGTTACCTGAGTCTGCCATTGCTCAGCAGAGAAGGGCAAGCGTAAATGGCTGTTTGAAGACACTGTACCTGTGTTCACCTCTCTGTGTTGTGTGGTATGCTCAGATGTCACCAGTGGGCTTTTTGTTCCTCACCGAGACGCTTGGACTCTGGGTTACCCCAGGACTGTGTAAGGTGGGACGGAGCTCTTTGGGGCGTGCTCACTGGCCTTAGCCTGCTGCCTGCTACCAGGCTGGGGCGACCTGCTCGCCTTGCTGGGGGTGTCTCTCCTCCCAGTGGAAGCTCCTCACCTCAGTGGAGAATGAAACACCCCCTGAAGTCTGGCATTTTCTGTTGTAATGGATATAGCTCTTCTGTCATAAGAATAAAGTGTTGCTTCCCAAGCTCGGGGTATGATTCCTTTATTTGGGATATACACTGTGCTCTCCCATGTGTAAAGCATGATAATGAATCGGCCATCAATGGTCTGATGCTGGTACTGCTTTGAGAAGGGTGGACATCATTATCTCAGTTTTTCCAGGCAAATCTCATCCATGCTGTAAACCAGATTAGTTTGCTATGAACTTCTGTTGTACATTGATTTCCTGTTGATATCAGCAGGATTCCTAAACTTGGAGAGAAGGTAGCAGTAGGCAGGCTGGAAAGCTGGCCTGGATGCTGACAGTGGCTGCAGGCTTGGCCGTGCATGCCGGAGTCCCTCTGGGCCCTGTCAATGTGTCTGCAGACACAGAAGATAGCTGCTATGGACCCAAGCGGTCAGAAGCGGAGGGACAAGTGCGTCCTCTGGGGGGGCTGCAGCCCCCATCTCCCCAACCCTCCTCTGCAGGGTTTGCAGGGAAGCGCAATAGCAAAAGTTTGGTGTTTTGTCTTCTGCTTGAAGAAGTCCTGGTGGAAGATGAATTGCCTGGCGGGCTGTGCCAGGGGAACGCTGCCTGATTCATATGCGCAGTGTGGCACTGAGAGTCGCCTTCCTCAGTCATGGGGAAAATGAATCATGACGTCAGCCGCATTCGGCTCCTCCGCCAACACAATAGCGGGTCCTGGCTGCCTCTGAAAATTTTTCTCCTGGCTCCTCACAGGAGAAAGGAAGTAATTAATAAGTTTACTATAAGCCCTCTATCTTAGCAAAACACGGGTGAGGCGAGAAGCGATGCTGGAGAGTGACAAGAGAAAACACGTTCTGCCCGTTGGAAAGTTGCCTCCCAAGAGTGAGAGGATAATAAGTTGGGGTAGAAAACACAGCAGTCTTCCGAGACACCTTCGGTGGGGAGGAGAGACAGATGAGTTACTGCTCTGCACCCTGTTCTCCCAGCAAGACTGAGTTGTTCAACTAAGTTTAATATGGCAGCACGCCTGGGAGAGGTGTGTCGTGAGGATGGGTGCTCGGCGTGGTGCGGTGCCTTCCCGGCTCGTGGCATGGGAAGCTGCTGGGGTAACTGTCCTGCCTGGCCAGCAGCATCCCTGCCCTGCTCCGTGGCATCATGCCGTTACACAGTGAGCAGGCATAGGCACTGCGTGAAACCAGGGCTTTTGGGAGCTCTAAGGCTTGATGGAGGAGGCCTGGGAGCATTCGTGTAGAAGCGTGACCATTGCAAAGCCACCTGGGCTACCTGTGGCATGTGGACTTGCAACTGGGCACGGGGAAGAGGAGCTGAGACTCCCTGGTTTCTAGCTCCAACACCAAATTCAGGATGAAGCCCCGAACATATGGCTGAGCCCTGCCGCCACGGCAGCTCCCATCCCCTCCACCATCATTGTACTGCTCATCTCAGCCGCCATGGAGCTGCGAGGAGTAACTGCCATGCTGAAGACGGAGG